ACAACAGCAGACACACACAGGAAGGGAGAGAGGGAGAGCTCTCGGGGTCACAGCAACCCACACACACACACACACAGCACACCACACACACACACCACACACACAGCACACACACTCACGACACAAAGCGCCATATAATATATATGAAATATGATATATATAGAGTAGATAGTAAATGTATATATAGTACTTAGTAGTAATATTTAATAAGTGAGAGGAGTGAAGATATAACAATACATACATACAAACAGTAATAAGAGTACATACAACATAACACAGCACACGAGGAGAGAGAGGAGAAGGAGCCACAAACACAGCCACACACACACAACAGCACACGCCAAGCAATCAGGAGAAGAGAAATGAGCGGAACACCAAGAGTGAATAGTATGAGATAGGTAGAGTTATATAATTTTAGTAAGAGTATATAGTATATATGATATATATATGATAATATATTTGGGATATAGATAAGAGAAGGAAGGAAGGAAAATAATAGTATATGTTTAGTATATGTGTGTTTTTGTGTTGTACATATAGGTGATGTATGTATAATGTGTGAGTGTCGTGTGTGTGTGTGTGATGATGTGTGTGTGTGGTTTGTGTGGTGTGTGTGTTGTGGTGTGTGTGTGTGTGTGTGTGTGTGTGTTGTATGTTGTGGTGTATGTGTGTATGTATGTGTGGTGTGTGTGTGTGTGATTGTGTGCTGTGGTGCTGTGTGATGTGTGGTGTGTGTGTGTGTGTGTATGTGTGTGATGGTGTGTGTGGAGGTGTGTTGATGTGTGTGTGTGTGTGTGTTGTGGTGTGTGTGGTGGTAGTGGGTGTGTGTGTGTGAGTGTGTGTGTGTGGTGGTGTGTGGTGTGTGGTGTGTAGTGTCCTATAATATATATATATATAGTAATATATATAATATATATATATAGGGATATACTCAGTATAATAAATAATGATATATTGATATATATATATATATATTATAAGTGCATAATATATGAGTATATATAATATATATATATATATATATATATATAGGTAGGTATGATATATATATTATATGCATAAATATATATTATTATATATATTATATATATTATATATATATATATATAAGATAAGCGGTTAGAGGTATAAATGGATATTATTATATATATATATATATATTATATATTTATATAGTGATGATATAGTATGATAAGTGCCGAGAGAGAGAGGGAGAGAGAGAGGGAGAGAGAGAGGAGAGAGAGAGGGGAGGGAGAGGGAGAGAGAGAGGGAGAGAGAGAGGGGAGAGAGAGAGGGAGAGAGAGAGGGAGAGAGAGAGGGGAAGAGGAGAGGGAGATGTTGAGAGAGGAGAGAGAGAGAGAAGAAGAGAGAGGAGAGAGAGGAGAGAGAGTAGAGAGAGAGAGAGAGAGAGAGAAGAGAGAGATGAGAGAGAGAGAGAGGAGAGAGGAGAGAGAGGAGGGAGGGAGCGAGAGGAAGGGACGGAGGGAGGGGAGGGAGGGAGGGAGGGAGGGAGGGAGAGAGAGAGAGAGAATGAGATGAGAGTAGAGAGAGAGAGAGGAGAGAGAGAGAGGAGGAGCAGCGTAGAGTGAGAGAGAGGAGAGAGAGAGAGAGATTTTCGGTGAGAGAGACGTGAGAGATGAGTGAGAAGGGGTGAGAGAAGAAGAACCGAGTGAAGAGAGTTGAGGAAGAAGATAGAGAAAGGGAAGAGGAAGAGGAGGAAGGTTGAGAAAGGCAAGAGAGGGGAGAGGAGGAGGAAGGAGGGTGTGAGAGAGAGGAGGGAGAAGGGGAAGTGAAGGGGAAGAATGGTGAGAGTGGAAGGGAGAGGAGAAAGAGAGAGGAGAAGGAAAGAGAGAAGAGAGAGAGAGCAGAGAGAGGGGGGGTCCAGAACGGAAATTTCCTTCTTTGATAAAATTCACGTTGTCCGTAATGATGACTCATCAAAAACAACTCAAAAGCACAAATCATGAGTGCCTAGAAAAAGAGCCTGCATGATGTTATCTGGAGAAGAGAGAATGCGAGATAACAGGGGCAGGCACAACATACAAATCAGAGAAAGAACCACAGAGAGAGGGAGTAGATAAGAGATAAGATAGATTAAAGAGAGAGAGACGAGAGAGAGAAGATAATGATGGAAGAGAGAGAGATAGAGAGAGAGCGAGAAGAGGAATGGGAAGATTGGGAAGAAAAGAGAGAAAATGGAAAAGAGGGGGAGAAGAAGAGAATGGAGAGAGAGGGAGAAAGAGAAAAGATGGAGAGAAATAAAAATAGAAAGAGAAGAGAGAGAGAGAGAATGGAGAAGAAACGAGAGGAAGGGATGGAGAAGAGAGAAATGAATGAGAATGAGAGAGAGAGGAGAGAGAGAGAGAGAGAGAGAGACGAGAGATGAGAAGAGAGAAGGGAGGGGTAAGGAAAGAGGGGAGAAAGAGAAAAGAGGGGGAAGAAGGGGAAGAGGAGGTGGGGGGGGAAGGAGAAAAAAAAAGGGGAGGGAGAGAGAGAGAGA